ATATATATATACCCTTGTGCAAATTAATTCCGTTATTATTTACATTTTTCATATTTTTCTAATGAAACATGACCTAGTGCACATATTAATACTTCTTATATCCAATCCAAGAAGTCGTTCCTCGCAGATTGACCACAGAATCTCGATTAGATTTAAATCAAGAGATTATCCGGGCTAGTCTACAATTCTTTATGTAAACAGAATGAGATAGATAGATAGATACACCCCTGTGCAAATAATTTGAAACAAAAGGAATAATTCTGTTATTATTAACTATTTTTTACGTATTTTTTCAATGAATCATGACCCAGTGCACATATTAGTACTTCATTCCACGAAGTATTTACTTGCAAATTTACCACAGATTCTTGATTGGATTTAAATCAGTAGAATTTCCGGGCCAATCAATTGTACTTTGATTTGCTCACTCGTAAGGCTTGCCTGTGTGTTCGTGGAGCGTTTCAATTTTCGTACGCTTCCTTCGAGTAACGTCCATCGCAGAGAAATGCCGAAGGACAACTAATTGACAGTCGATACAATAGTGTCTAGGCCTGATGAAAATAAGTTTCATCATACACCCCGAAAATAGATTTATAGTAGTGCACACCACTGCAAATGACCTAATCTGAGGAAAAAATAGAAATCGATTACATCCTGTCACTTCAGTGGGTCTAAAACTGACCGTATGGTGAAAGAAATGAAACTAAAGTGGTTGTTTCAATTAATTTGCACAAGGGTGTATATACCAGGGGTGGCCAGACTTTTTTTTCAGATGATTGAGAGCTGCAAGGCATGAACAAAATTTATACATCCGTTTTTGTTGCATATTAACATTAAACTTACTTTTTAATCCAGTGGGGTGTCAGTTCATACCCAGTAAATAATTATAAGGCTTGAATTTTTTCTTATTTACCTTTTAATATTAACTGAAAAGAGGAGCTCAGCCAATATATTTCCACGAGCTGCATAATTAAAGCTCAAAGATCCGCATATGGCTCGTGAGCCGCGATTTCGCTACTCCTGATATATACTATTTTCTTGTGTATAATACGAGAAAATTTGAAGGAAAATCAAAGGCAAAAAGCGGGTCGTATTATACACAAGTACATGTTTTCAGGTACTTTTACTCAGCTTAAAAATCTCTTATTTTAAACAATAAGATTGCAAATACATTCGTCTAGTATAATAGACAATAAAACACAAAGTAGACAGGTGTTGATAACAATTGTTTGCAAGACGTATTTGATATGTCAGCCATATTTGTTTTAATTGCGAATCAGCGTAATTGGACGTCTTTTGTTTCAAAGAGAGGAAATTCATTGAAATTGATTTAAAAAATTAATAAAGGGAATACACACGATCTGCCATGTTTTGATAACATTAATGTTACAACAAAGCATCTTTCTCCGAAAATAAGTTTTCAAACGGAAATTAAGTGAAGAAACACGCTGTAACTAAACATCCGGTTCATTTTTATTCTTTAATATGATGAAAAAATTAAATATTTCAATGAAATTTTTATGACGTACAGTGGCCGTTTATAATTAAGTATAACTCGAGACTTCAATGTTAAAATAAAACAGTATTTAATTACAACCTCAAATAAATACTTAAAACGAACAAAGAAGTAAAAGTCAACCAAAAATAATTAACCATTTCAGTGAATACCTTGTTAGTAGCGCGGCTCGGTTTAATGTCCGGTAAATTTTAAATCAAAATTAAAATCATCGACGCACAATAATTCACACTAATTCGACTGGACAGTTCCACTCAATAGTCCCTTAATAATCCCTGCAGTCAGTAGCCTGACACCGCTATTTATACACCTGGTGAAAAACATATATTCATAAGTCCAGAGTGTCACGCTTGAACCTCAGTGTCGGTAATTACTAATTTTCTTCTTATATGTCATTTCATTAGGTAGGTTGTCTCTCTTGTATTCACCATTCGTCTGTGTGTAAATTTTGTGACGTATGTTAATGATTAATTATAACTCAATACTTCAATGTAAATAAAACAGTATTTAATTACAACCACAAATAAATACTTAACAAGAATAAAGAAGTAAAAGTGAACCAAAGATAATTAACCATTTCAGTGAATACGTTGTTAGTAGCACAGCTCGGTTTAACGTCTAATAAAGCCTAAATCAAAACCCAAATTATCGACGCACACTAATTCGACTGGATAGTTCCACTCAATAATCACTTCAGTCAGTAGCCTAACATCGATATTTAAACACGTAGCGGAAAACAGATATTCATAAGTCCAGAGTGTCGCGCTCGAACCTCGGTGATGGTAGTTATTCTTTATTTTTTATATGACAGAAATATATGTACGACATTGAGATCTTAATTGATAGTATGGTCACTATTTACATTATTCGGACTATTGTCCTCATCTTTGTCACCATATTTATTACAACTTTTCAGCCGTTGTACGCTCCGTCCTTCAGGTTGTTGGAATATCAAAGTGAACCCTTTATTTCGCTCAATGGCAGAAACGGTTCTAGTTCCACGTACCATGGCTAATGGATGTCAGTTATCAGTTACCTTCTGTTCATTCCACCTCTCCAAGTTCTCCACCGCCTTACCCAGGTATTGAACTCACACTCTTTGGGTCCTGTCACTGGATCTAACAATCGCTTTTATCCACTATGCCATGTGTCCTCAAGGTATTGAACTCATACTCTTCCTGAATACTTTAGCTTTATAATCCCCAGAAATTCATACACAGATGTCCTCAAGGACGTTGTAATAAATATGGCGACAAAGATGAGGACAATAGTCCGAATAATGTAAATAGTGTACATAATACTTCATCTCAGAAATATAGACAGATACTGAAAGGCCGAAACATTGTAATAAATATGGCGACAAAAATGAGGACAATAGTTCGAATAATGTAAATAGTGTACATAATACTTCATCTCAGAAATATAGACAGATACTGAAAGGCCGAAACATTGTAATAAATATGGCGACAAAGATGAGGACAATAGTTCGAATAATGTAAATAGTGTACATAATACTTCATCTCAGAAATATAGACAGATACTGAAAGGCCGAAACATTGTAATAAATATGGCGACAAAATGAGGACAATAGTTCGAATAATGTAAATAGTGTACATAATACTTCATCTCAGAAATATAGACAGATACTGAAAGGCCGAAACATTGTAATAAATATGGCGACAAAAATGAGGACAATAGTTCGAATAATGTAAATAGTGTACATAATACTTCATCTCAGAAATATAGACAGATACTGAAAGGCCGAAACATTGTAATAAATATGGCGACAAAGATGAGGACAATAGTTCGAATAATGTAAATAGTGTACATAATACCTCATCTCAGAAATATAGACAGATACTGATAGCATGTTACAGCTTTTAAAAGACATTACATAGGGATAGCTGTACTATGGAATCATCTAATATTAGAAGATACAATTTAGTCCTCGTTTTTAGCTTCAGGAACCACAGGTTATATTATACACAAGAAAATATGGTATGTAAGTTAGTCACATAGTCTCACCCGTGAATTCTAGGGGTCATCACCCCCCACCACCACATTAGACGTTGCTATTGTGGTTTCTGAAGCAATCATTTTTCTAGCCCACGTATATTTGAATACAAAATTTTCCTTCTTCTATACTGGCTGCCAACCAAGGAAAGAGAGCCTAGTCTACCCTACCCTGCTGTTAACCCTTAAGTGTGTTGGGGAGAGACGGATTTATGCCTTTCCAAGATAATTTTACGAAATTAATCGCAAGAGGTTGAGCTGGCATTTGAACTCACGACCCCAATGACACTTTCCACGGCGATAACCAGTACGCTTGAATCATGTCCTTTCGACTATATAAAAGTCATTAAATTAAAAACGACTTTAAACTTTTTCCTTATATGCGATAGGAAAACCAATCCAACATTTTAGAATACACCATTATATGACTGAAAACCATTTATTTCGTAAGGTAATGGTAGTAACCTGGTTGGTTAGAATCCTTCCCACCGGGAACAACAGCTAGAATGGCTCAATCCTATTCTCGAGTGACAGCTCCGTTCGTAGGTAAAACATGAAAAATTGGTGTACGGGGCGTAAACTTGATTTTGCCGTCTTGCAACCTCCTCTATCCACCATCTTGCCCTTGCCTTCTCTAATGCCTTCTCTGCTGCGATTATCTACACGTTCCTCTCGGTTATCAGGACCAATTTCCACGAATCTCAGTTTGCGTTCGCAAACATACCTAAAGCGAAGTGCAGGGCAGCCTACTGGGTGTTTATCCTGTGCCCAGCTTACCGTACATAACATCTTGGAGTATACAGCCATTCTTCATTCGATAACATGATCCAACCATTATAGACGTCGCTGCTATACTTGGATCAAGTTTATTATTATATTTATAAGACATTGGTCTTAAAATATTTTAAAAATAAAATCCTATTTCTCTTTACTTTTTAGGCTCCAAAAGAGACATGTTTATCTTTTACTTATCTTGAGACCAAATTAGACTTTCTGTTTTGTCAATGCTCAAAGTTTAATAGGAAACAAACTGAATCAGTACTACTTAAATAGAGTGGACCCCTCGTAAAAAAATGGTATTTTTGTAGATTGGCATTTATTAAGATTTCCTCAGGTTGGAACTTTTTTAAAAATCATTTTTAGACATGTGGTCCTGTTCATAGTATCATTTCAGTATAAAATCGATCTCTGAATTTTTATATTATCTTGGAGGATTCGACACTCACAAGGCAGATTGAAGGCGAGAGGGGAAAAAGGAAGCTTGAGTAAATGGATGGAAGAACAAGGAGGGGGATGTATGGTAAAAAGACAAATCTCAATAAGAGCCACAAAGAATTGGACGTTGTGGACAGCTATGATCTCTTAAGCTCTGAAGGGACACGGCCCGTAGAATAAGAAGAAGAAAAGAAAGAAGAAGAATAAATCAGTTATCTTCATTAAGAACCACTAAGTTGGGCAAGATATAAGACACATGCTAATAAATTTAATGATAAAGTTGGCGAAGAAAAAGAAAAAGGTAAAAAAAGAAAGAAAAAGAAGAAAAGTAAAAAAAAAATGAAATGAAAACGGAAGAGAAAATGTAAAGAAAGGAAAATAGTAGGGAAAGAAAAGAAGTAAAACATAGAAAAAGATGAAGAGAAAAAGGAAGAGAAGAGAGGAAAAGAGAAAAAAAAGAAGAAAGAAGGGAACAAGATGAACAGGAAAAAGAAAAAGGAAGAGAAGAGAGGAAAAGAAAAAAGAAAAAAGAAGGGAACAAGATGAACAGGAAAAAGAAAAAGGAAAGGACAAAGATGAAAAGGAAAAAAGAAAAGGAAGGGAAAAAGATAAAAAAAGAAAAGAAGGGGTAAATCTTTCTTTTTTTTAAGCATTTCACCTCTAGCAAGGCGGGAAGCCACCAGCACACAAGGGGTTATAGAGGATTTGGGGCGAGAGCAGATAGGAATGATAGAGGAAAGGATGAGGAGAAGTATAGTGGATAGACCAAGGCAACTGGAGATGCCGATTGACATTACATTTAAATAATTGGAGATTATAGCTATCAGGGAAACGGGAATAGGGAAGGGAGTTCCACAGGCGAGAGGTGCGAGATATGAAGCTATTGGAGTAGGAGAGGCGGCTACATTTAACAATTTCAACAATGAAAGGGTGATAGCGGGATGCCAGCCTCGTAGGGCGCTTGAATTCGCGAAGTCTTGGAACCAGCAAAAGCAGCTTATCGGAGCAGTTACCAGGAACGTATTTGTAAAAAAGACAGAGAGAGGCGACGGCACGTCTATGAGAGAGCGACTGCAGACGAGATGCCAGATCAGGGCCAATTATATTGCATATCCGTCTCTGGATCTTATCAAGGATCCCGAGGCAAACAGAAGGGGCTCCAGACAATACATGGCACCAATACTCCATGCAAGGGCGAATGGTTGATTTGTAGATTTGAAGGATCGATTCAGGGGAGAAAAAAATTTCCTGGCGCGGCACAAGGAGCCAACTTTTTTGCGGTGGACGAAGCTATTGACTCACTGTATTTGTTCCATCTCAGGTCTGTAGACAGCGTGAGACCGAGCAGCCGCAGAGAGGTGCTCTCGGGAAGTTGAGCGTCAGACATTCTGGTGGGCATGGAAGGATCTCTGTGGGGATTAATAGAGAGCAGTTTTGTTTTTGAGGCGTTAAAGTTAAAGGGGAAAAGAAACGGAAGGGGAAAAGATGAAAAGGTAAAACGGAAAGAAAAAGACAAAGATCAAAATGGAAAAGGAAAGGAAGGGAGAAAGATGAAAAGGGGAAAAGGAAAGGAAAGGGCAAAGATGAAAAGAGGGAAAAGATATGGAAAGGGGAAAAGGGAAGGAAGGGGTAAAGATGAAAGGGAAAAGAAAAAAAAGAAAAGAAAACGAAGGCAAGGCATAAATATGAATAAAGGGAAAATATAAACAAGAAGAGAGAAAAGAAAGAGAAATGAAAAAAAAGACAAAGTATAAAAGAAAAACAAAGGAAAAAGAAAAAGGCATAAGAAAAAGAAAAGAAAAAAGAAGAAAAAAGAAAAGAAAAAATGTGAAAAAAGAAAAAAAAAAGGAAAAAAGTATAAAACAGACAAATGAATCGCATTTGTATGATGTTATATTTTCCCGCAATATTTGCTCGTACACATAGCCGGTCGATCAGAAAAAGCGTTCAATTAGAATGAAGCAAAAACAGCATCATGTTTAGACGTAAGAGTCTATCTTCTTCAATTACTTTAAAGTACTTTCATTAAAAACACTTTGAATTAATGCAGTTATTGATATAACAGAAGTGGTGTGTCTTTATTCAGTCGAAGTTAGCAGAGGACATGAAGGGGTAAAACAGGCAACATGAAGACCCACTTCAGACCACAAATATTTTGGAGTTTTTGAACTTCAATTTATCAGTGTACTACCAGGGATGTTATAAAGTAATTGTTAATATTGACGAACATTGGTTGAAAGATGAACGAAAAATAAGAAAGAAACCAGTAAAAATCACCATTTTTCGCTACTTACGCGGGTTTTCACTCTATGGGTGGACTCAGTTATCAAGTTAAATGACTGTTAAACAATAAACTTATTGTTGGCTACAATTGAGTGAAGTTTGTATTAGATTGCTTGAAAATTGAGGGAGTTTTTAGTTTAAAATTTGTTGAAATCGATTTCAACAAGACAGACACACAGAAACACAGATATCCTCTGTTATATATATATATGTGTGTGTGTGTGAAAGAAGAGAGCGAAAAAGCGAAAGGAAATAGTCCGGATTAACCGGTTATGGCTGCTTGCTCATCAGAGGTCGATCGAGGAAAATTTTTCCTCTCAACCAACTAAAATTAAACAGGCAGGGATTTGCATGCTGATCTTCTTTCCAGTCTCAAGGGCCACGCCCTCTGTGGACAAATGTTTGGCTTAATCCAATCGTTCCTAACCAGTCTGGTAATGAAAGGTAGTGTTATAAAGATACGCTTCTATTTTTTTTTTTTTACATTAATTCGGGGTACCCCAGGGCTCTATCCTTGAACTTACATTGTTTCTTATCGTCATCAAAGATATTTCCAATGTCACCTGTAAACAAATTTTTTTTTCTTACATCGAGCTCTGATGACCGGTCAATTCGCGTATTTTTCTTTCTTTCTTTCTTTCTTTTGCAATAAACTACTGTAATTGTTTTCCTTTTTTTTACCTTTTGAATTTTTCTGAACAGAATCCATCTTTTCAGATTTTTAAATCATTCGTTCGTGCGTTGAATACTGTTGCCATATCTGGTATGATGTCCCGGCTATATATCTAGAGATTCACGACAAAATCCAAAGAAGAGTTTGTGATTTTATCGGTCCTGACCTGGCAACTCGGTTTCAGTCCCTTTTCCACCACCATAACGCCGCTCTCCTCTGACATTTTACAAATATTCTCATAGCAACTGTTCTAATTAGCTCTCCTCCTTGGCAACCCCAATCGCATGAATTTAAACGTACTACTAGATTGGCAATTAGGTCTCATCGTTTTATTGTTAAAATAGCTATATAGAACCGTAAGTTCTATTCTAATAGTTTCTTTTCTCGCACTTCTTGCCTGTGTAACTTTCTTTCAGTTTCTTGCTTCCCTGCCGTTTACGATCTCCAAAAAATTAAATGCAACCTCAATCACCATCTTTTGTCTTTCTGAAAATTATCCTTCTATTTTTCTTTGTCTTTACTCCATTCTTCATATTGTCTTTCGCTCTCAGTAACCATTGGCGTCTCAGTGGCATTATATTCTTGCTTAAACTGAAAAAAAAAAAAATGAAAAAAAGACATCCGTTTTGTTTGCTATAATTACATTTTGTACGGCCAGCAAGATTCTCTTTCTGGGCGTTAAACATTTTACTGATTAGTATAACAGATCTACGGACCTCTCTTGCAGGCTAATAGACTAAACGTAAAACGATATTTGGGCCGTAATTAAAATTTTGACATTTGATTTGATAAAGTTATACTAAAAGCTCGAATATAACTTTTCATTGAATATTGGCACTAGGATATAGGGAAATAAGCTGGCAGTGGAGAGCCAACAGTTTTCAAATACTCGTTATCACAAATGTCTAAAAAAAAATTATAAAATAAACTTAGTCGACAAGGACATTTGTCAGATATGCCAGCGAGTGATAAAATTGCCGTACTTGGCAATTTTAACGCCAGAGTAGACAGACACTTGGAAAAGCCTTCTTGGGAAGCGGGCAGAGATAGATACAGAGAGAGAAAAAGAGAGAGCGTATGTGTATGTGTCTGTGTGTGCTTGAGAGATAGATAGAGAGAAGTACCAACAGCATATATTTTCCTCTTGAGTTCCTTGCAAAACTGGAACCAAAACTGAATCACTAACACCTTATCCCAACAAAAGAACAGCTGGAAGAACCAAAAACGACAACAAAAAAGAACAAACAAAAACAAAAAGCATTAATAACTCACAGACCTCATTCTCTTTCGATATGGGCCATGTAAATAAGAACCATTGCTCGAAAATGGTTTTCTTTACAGAATACGACTATACAGTCATAAAGCTTATTTACTTCCAACTCATTTATGTTGGTGATACAATGGGTGCACCCCAAAAATTCTAAGTGACCAGAGACTGTTATCTGATCTCTCCTCTGACCGAGCTCTTACAGCTCAATAGAATAAAAACCAGTAAGTCTTACTCAATACCATAAAACCAAATAAAATTCAGTGGTAATTATTAGTCCTATTCTACCTTATAATACTGCTAATTTAAATACTTAAAGTATTGCTTGTTACTATTTTTACTTGTACTTTTTTCGTTGAAATGTCCGTTCGGCCAAATGTCCGTTCGGCCAAATATCCGTTCGGCCAAATGTATCTCGGAAAATGTCCGTTTGGCCAAATGTCCGTTCGGTCAAATGTCCGTTCGGTCAAAAGTCCGTTCGGCCAAATATCCGTTCGGCCAAATGTCCGTTCGGCCAAATGTCCGTTCGGTCAAAAGTCCGTTCGGCCAAATGTCCGTTCGGCCAAATGTCCGTTCGGTCAATTGTATCTCGGAAAATGTCCGTTCGGCCAAATGTCCGTTCGGCCAAATGTCCGTTCGGCCAAATGTCCGTTCGGCCAAAAACCCGACCACAAAAATACTTTGGTATTTCCTCTTAATAATAACATAAACATTTTGATGATAAAACTCTGTTTTTATCAAGTTTGGGGCTTTTTTTCATAATGCTCTTTTATTAGTGAATAAGTGGAGGTAGCTAGTTTAAAGTACAGTGTAACCCGGATATAAGAGACCCGGATATAAGAGAAACCCGGATATAAGAGAGATTTTCACTGGTCCCAAATTAGAGCCTGTGTTAATGTATATAAAATAGACCAAACCCGGATATAAGAGAAAATCGAATATAAGAGACTTCTTCTCCGGTCCCGAAAACTCTCTTATATCCGGGTTACACTGTAATAAGTGTAAAACTGTTTTATCGACTATGCGTTTCGCCTTCGTTAGATAGGCATCTTCTGGTCAGAAGGAAAGAAATCTGTGTGCCCGTGTTTTAATATTAAATAATTGGTTAGCCTGCATACATTCCTTTCGTTCTGTCCCGAAGAAGCCTATAAAATAAGTCAATAAAGCACTTTTCCATTTTGATTTATCAAGTTTTTTGTTCGGCTTCTATATCCTAATAAGAATACAAAATATGTCAATTATAAAATTTTAAAATCGTTTGTATAGATCGGATATCAGTGAAAACCACAACTATGTTAATTTGGCAGCATTCATTGAATTATAAATAGTTTTAAAAGATTGAAATGTAAGGATGTAAAACATTCTTTTTGCTTTTCTAGTCAAAATAACATTTTATATTTTATGTTATTTTGCCCAACCGATATGGATTA